GTCCATGTTGCTCTACCGGTTCATGGTGACCTAACCCTAACCCTAAGTGGAATTTTCCTAAATGGGATTTTCCCATGTATTTTACCAGGAAACATAGATAGTGCTTGGTGGAAAAGTCAGTGCCCTTCTAACCATACCCAAGTACTCCGAGTTTGTTGGCAATGTCCATTTTGCTCTACGAGTTCATGGTGACCTAACCCTAACCCTAAGTGGAATTTTCCTAAATGGGATTTTCCCATGTATTTTACCAGGAAACATAGATAGTGCTGGCTGGAAAAGTCAGTGCCCTTCTAACCATACCCAAGTACTCCGAGTTTGTTGGCAATTTCCATTTTGCTCTACGAGTTCATGGTGACCTAACCCTAACCCTAAGTGGAATTTTCCTAAATGGGATTTTCCTATGTATTTTACCCAAAAAAATTGGTAAGGCAGGCTGGAAAGATCAGTGCCCTCCTAATCATACCCAAGCACTCCGAGTTTGTTGGCAATGTTCATTTTGCTCTACGAGTTCATGGTGACCTAACCCTAACCCTAAGTGGAATTTTCCTAAATGGGATTTTCCCATGTATTTTACCAGGAAACATAGATAGTGCTGGCTGGAAAGATCAGTGCCCTCCTAACCATACCCAAGCACTCCGAGTTTGTTGGCAATTTCCGTTTTGCTCTACGGGTTCATGGTGACCTAACCCTAACCCTAAGTGGAATTTTCCTAAATGGGATTTTCCCTTGAATTTTTACAGGAAACATACATAGGGTAGGCTGGACAAGTCAGTGCCCTCCTAATCATACCCAAGCACTCCGAGTTAGTTGGCAATGTCCATTTTGCTCTACGAGTTCATGGTGACCTAACCCTAACCCTAAGTGGAATTTTCCTAAATGGGATTTTCTCATGTATGTTACCAGGAAACATACATAGGGCAGCCTAGAAAAGTCAGTGCCCTCCTAACCATACCCAAGCACTCCGAGTTTGTTGGCAATGTCCATTTTGCTCTCTATCGGGATCAACTGAGCATTAGGGCCTATGTTTTGATGATTAAGTTTTGAAAGGCAGAAATGAACGGTAGGAAAATTACTACCACATAGTTAGAGCCCTGGTGGCACAGTGGTTAAAATATAGTTTTGCAGGCTAATTCTGCCGACTGCCAGGAGTTTGATCCTGACTGACTCAAGGTTGACTCAACCTTCCATCCTTCCGAGGTCGGTAAAATGAGGACCCAGATTGTTGGGAAGAATATGCTGACTGTGTAAACCGCTTAGAGAGGCTGGAAATCACTATGAAGGGGCATACAAATCTAAGTCCCATTGCTATTGCTACCCGAACAACAGTGCTTCAAAATGTTATTTGAAATTGGGTCTGCATTTTATGGTCCTGGTTGGTTTTGGAGAACCATTGAAGCATGAGAAGGATTTTGTTAGTATAGCTATTCCTCGATTTACAACCACTTGTTTAGTGACCTTTCGAAGTTACAACGGCACTGAAAAAAGCGGCATGACCAGTTTTCATTCTTATGACCATTGCAGCATCCCCATGGTCAAGTGATCAGAATTTGGAATTTGACAACTGTCCCGTATTTATGAAAATTGCAACGTCCCGGGATTCTGTGATCACTATTTGCAGCCTTCCCAGCCGATTTCCGACAAAGTCCATGGGGGAAGCTAGATGACATAACAACTGCACGATTCGCTTAACAACTGCAGTGATTTGCTTAACAGCTATGGCAAAAAGGCCAGTAAAATGGGGCACAACTCCCTTGACAGGCGTCTTGCTTAGCAGCGAAAGGTTTGGACCCCATTGTGGTCCTGGACAGGTCGAGAACTACCTGTACTTGCATGAAGTTCACCAGGAGATGATGGTGATGATGACGATGACGATGATGATGATGATTGGAAGGGACCTTGGAGGTCATCTAGTCCAACCCCCTGCTCAGGCAGGAAACCCTCTACCATTTCAGACAAATGGCCGTCCAGTCTCTTCTTAAAGACTTCCAGTGTTGGAGCATTCCCAGCTTCTGGAGGCAGGTTGTTCCACTGATTAATTGTTCTAACTCTCAGGAAGTTTCTCCTTAGTTCTAGGTTGCTTCTCTCTTTCAATATAAAATTTTATTATTTTTTTCATCATCATAAAAAAAAAAAAAAAAATTTCCACAATTTTTTTTCCATATAGCATTGTGTAGTATTTGCTTCTCTCTTGATTAGTTTCCATCCGTTGCTTTTTTTTCCTGCCTTCAGGGGCTTTGGAGAATAGCTTGATCCCCAACTCTTCCTTGTGGCAGCCCCTGAGATACTGGAACACTGCTATCGTGTCCCCCCTCGTCCTTCTTTTCATTAAACTAGACATACCCAATTCCAGCAACCGTTCCTTGTACGTTTCAGCCTCCAGTCCCCTAATCTCAGGGCTTTTGGCTTTCAAGAAAATTATGTGGATGTGTTCATGCAGTTACCAAGAAATTAATTCAAGGGAGTCTTTACCTTTTGAAACATCCTGGCCCTGCCTGATGGCTCTACTAGGGGCCCTTCCAATAGCAGCATCTGGATTGTTGAATATTCAGTCCAGCAACATGTAAACATAATCAGTACTGTGGTTTTGGCTCCTAAGAGTAAAAAGCAGGAGGAGGGAGGGCTACAACCTCCACTTTTCTCCAGCATCCATCACTTGAGGCAGCCACATGATGACAGGGCTGGCCAAAATCCCAGCATTTCCAGCTAAAGAGTCTTTGGCAGACCCACTTACTGTACATACATTCCCATTGGGGGGGGGGGGAAGCGGTATTAATGCAGAGTGCAGAAGGAGAAGGAAGCCAAATCAATTAAGGCAGGAGGCAGACAAAGATACAGAAAACTAAATTAGCAAGCTAAAATCAAGTTGACTCCAACGCAATTCCCGATATCTGACTTGATCTTAAAAACCAGTCTGACTTCTGCTATGTCCATATGCCTCTCAATACAGTGTCTTTTTTGTTCATTAGATTTCTCCCTACGGGTAGTCCTCAGCGTACACCAGGGGTAGGCAACCTTGGCTCTTTTATGACTGGCATCGGCACATACATGGTCGAAGCCGAAACCTGAATTCTTCTCCCCTAAACACATAGTATCAAAGCACAATTCCCTCCTCTAATTAACAGTCATAAATCACATTCTCCAATTAGTTTGAAATGCAGACCTTCCCTCCAGTTCTCCAACCTGCCATTTCTTAACATCTCTTATTTCAAACAACCTTGAAAAACACTCTACCATGATGTTGTTATGTCTGACTAATTCTCATATACATTCTTCCTCCCCCCCCCCAGTATCATCTAATTCCAACTCTAAAAGTAACACACAAGTTAAGGGGAAATTGGCTGCATCTTCATATATTGTCAAAGCAAAAACATCCGATGTTAGCAGCGTTGACGGGATGCTGCAACGGTCTTAAGTGTGAAAACCGGTCATGAGTCGCTTTTTTCAGTGCTGTTGTAACTTAGAACGGTCACTAAATGAACTGTTGTAAGTCGGGGATTACCTGTACTGGCAAAAACTCTATTGCTTATACAGTTTTAAAGTAAGGGATTCCCACTGCATCTCACTTTCACTTGCCTTTAACAAGGTGAGCAGATGTTTGCTGTTATACTCAGCTATTTTTGCTTCTTTTGACAAATATTCATTCCTTGGATGTGACCATACTTTCCACATTTCTAAAATTAAGCACTCATGGAGACATCCCACGTCCTTGTTTTCCTCCTTGTTTAGTAGTTGAAAGAAAAGTCTTCATCATGGTTCAGTCCAAGCCAGGGATAAACAACATAGCGACTGCTTTAGAAAGAAGGTTTCAGTTTATTGAAGAGGAGAGCCAGACAGAAAGATGGCTCTGGAAAAAAAAAAGAGAGAGCACATGTAGGGAGTAGGTTTTTATACCCTCTGGAGCTTTTTGTTTGTGGAGTTGTTCCTGTGGCATGAACTTTGACCTGAGTCTGAGTGTGCCCTTTGGTATCTGTTTATTAATCCTATTATGTCCTGTCTTAGAGTTTGGGTGGGGTATGTAGATTTTAGGTGTCTTTCTCTTCTTAATCTTCTAGCTGGGGGCCTCCAACCTTCCTGGATTATTTACATCTGCATTTCTACAGAGCTGGTTTCTGCTTGGGAGAGGGAGACTTGGGGCTATTAAGAAAAACTGGGCATGTTTTTCTGCCTCTTTAAGATCCTTTGAGGAAATATATTTTCCTGCCCTTTTAATATTTCCTTCTCTGGAGGGCTGACTTCCCACATAGTGTCGGAGCATTCAGCCAAGAGTGATCTTCACTTGTTTTTCCTGGTTTCTTCATGCTTTTTCTACATTCAGCAAACAACCTTCAACTCCATCCTTGGAACAAAACATTCCGCAGTGTGAGCCGTCTCATTTTGGAGAGGGGAAAAATGAAGGAACGGCTTTGTTAAGTATCTGCGTAACTTGCTAGAATTAGGTTTCCTATTTTATGGCAGGTTGAAGCTTATCGAAAGGAAGTGAACGGCTTAGAAGAAGCTGTCCATGAAATGGAGAAGGAAAATATCTACCTCATCAATAAACTGTTTGAGCGGAGATTGCAATTTCTTAAAGTACCCAGGTAAAAAAGGGCTCCAAGTATGATATAACTTTGGCTTGCTTAACCAGGTGGTTGACAGCAATTGAATGCAATGAATTTTAGTGATTTGTTTATGAATTTTTGGTTCATTTTTTCCCCTTTTAGTGCAGCAGGCTGGTCAAACTCAGTTCACTTAGCTGGGTGTGGGAAGGAAGAAACGTGACTAAAGTGTGTAAACAGGTTAAATGCGTTATCTGAACATAGCCAACAATAGTTGTATCTGTGAGCACAGCCATGGAATTTTAGCTTCTTCCTGCAAAAATATTTCCTTGACATTACAGGTAGTCCTCAACTTACGACCATAATTGAGCCCAAAATTTCTGTTGATAAGCGAGACAGTTGATAAGTGAGTTTTGTTGCATTTTATGACCTTTTTGCCACAGTTAAGCGAATCACTGCAATTGTTAAGTTAGTAACCCGGTTGTTAAGTGAATCTGGCTTCCCCATTGACTTTGCTTGTCAGAAGGTCGCAAAAGGGGATCACATGATCCCAGGACACAGCAACCATCATAAATATGAGTCAGATGCCAAGCGTCCGAATTTTGATCACATGACCACGGGGATGCTGCAATGGAGATAAGTTGAAAAAACAGTCATAAGTCACTTTTTTCACTGCTGTTACTTCGGTCACTAAATGAACTGTTGTAAGTTGAGGACTACCTGTACTTGTTGTTTTTTTTTAAAAAAAAACTCCATAAAACCCTTGTAAGATATGAGAAGAATGTTTAAAAATGCTCATTATTTGTGCAAGCAGGCATAAGCCAATAATTGGCTAATTTTTTTTCTGGCTGTGGAACTCTCCACCTTTATTTTTTTTTTCCTTTAACCTCCACCTCACCCCATTGATCAGAAAGGTGAGCCAAACATCTTTAGTTGTTTCCTGTCCCCTTTTTCCAAAGGTGTAACTTTTGAAAAAACTAAATGGATCTTGGAGAATCTCCAGATAATTTGAATCTAACTCACATAATCCTCACAAATTTTGGGATGTAAAGAAATATGTGGTTGAAAACTCTGGAGAGTGCAGGTTTTTGCAATATAAAAAGGGAAATGTGAATGCTTTTTGGTTAGTAATCCTTGAATTTGTGCTTTTTCTGGGCAGAATAAAGCTTTTGTAACTCTCTGCCTTGGTGTGCGTTTCATTGGACATTGTACACCACATACAAACCCAGCTTTGGGGACAACAGAATAGCACAACAATAAACTTTTCACTCTTTTGCTATTATTAACTAACTGGAATTCAGGACAGGGATTGGATATTTGTCTGAAATGCAGTCTCCCTTGTGCAAAGCTACAACTTCCTTACACAGAGACCCAGACCACAACTCTTTTGTATTCTTGATAGCAATAGCAATGCCCCTTAGACCCATATACTGCTTCATAGTGCTTTGCAGCTCTCTAAGCAGTTTACAGAGTCAGATTATTGCCCCCAACAATCTGGGTCCTCATTTTACCCACCTCAAAAGGATGAAAGGCTGAGTCAACCTGAGAATCGAGCTGCTGGCAGTCGGCAGAATTAGCCTGCAGTTCTAGTGGAACTAGAACTCACTCTCTCCGTTTCTAGCCAGGTGCCTTCACCACAAATGCTCTCGCCATTGTTTTCCAGTGGGTTACCATGATGTGTTTTGGTGCTATTTTTGCCATGTTTTGCATTTTCCAGGAAGCTGTTTCTTACCCAAGGAGCTGGCTTGCAGTTTCCTGGAGAAAGCATGGATCAAGAAGAAGGTAATTACCTCTTTGTGTTGTTACTGTTGTTGTTATTGGCATCAGATTGACCTGCCTATGTCTTGTAGCTATAAATTATGAAAGAAAGGCACTTGAAGTAGTAATGGTGAATTTGGGGAACGAAGCTGCCATCATCTCCTAAACCGTGTTTTATTTATTTATACATTATATTTTTTATTTATATCCTGCCCGTATTATTTTTTATAAGTAACTCAAGACAGCAAATCCTCCTTTCTTCTCCTATTTTCCCCACAATAACCACCTTGTGAGGTGGGTTGGGCTGAGAGAGAGGGACGGGCTCAACATCACCCAGCTGGCATTCATGCCTAAGACGAGACTAGAACTCACCACCTCCTGGGGATGGACCCAAATTCACCCAGCAGAATTTCATGCCTGAGGAGGGACTAGAACTCACCGTCTCCAGGAGATTGGCTCAAAGTCAGCCAACTGGCTTTCATGCATAAGGCAGGACTAGAATTCACGATCTCCTGATTTCTAGCCAGGTGCCTTAACCACCAGAGCGGCAGCTTCCAGACAGTTACAGAATTCCCATTCTTGGCTTGAAATTAGGGTGGGGTTTCCCAACGTGGTCAACATCAACCTGCAAGGGTTGACAGGACTATCTATCTGTTGTAGTTTTTATTGATATCATTCATAGTATTATTAGTTAAAATATTATTTATTAAATTACTAGCTGTACCCGGCGACGTGCTGCTGTGGCTCAGTCTGGTTAAATGGAAAAGAAAGAAAAGAGAAAGCGCACATTTGTGTTGCTTTTACGTCCAACAGATGGCGCTGTTTTTTTTAAAAAAGCATGTTTTTACCTGTCACAGGTGTGACATCTATATAATATAGGTATATAAAAACACGCACGCATTCGAATGCAATGTTGTGTCAAAATTTCAAAGCAATCGTTGAAGAACTTTCGGAGATTTAAGATTTTGAACAAACGAACATTTACATTTTCATTTATATAGATTTTCATGTAATAAATGTTTGGGGGTTGCCGAACAATCTGAAACTTCATGAACCTATGAGCCAGAGCATGGGTAGGCAACCTTGGCTCTTTTATGACTCGTGGACTTCAACTCCCAGAATTCCTGAGCCAGCCATGCTGAGGGGAAAGGGAGAGGTTTCCAAGCTGAGCCATGCTGGCTCAGGAATTCTGGGAGTTGAAGTCCACGAGTCATAAAAGAGCCAAGGTTGCCTACCCCTGATCTAGAGTTTGGGGACCCCTGAGTTAGGGAGATGTGGACAAAGGGCCATTCAAACCACATCTCATGTCCTATTATATTGTACCCTCCGTAAGGATTCACAAACTCATTTTGTAATTCCTTAGCTGACAAAATAGCCAGCAAATTCTGATCTCTTTTAACGTACAGCTGTTACTATTGGCTCAGTATAATACTGTTTCTTTGAACATATCTATATTGTCTGCAAAAATTAGGCAGTCTGGCTTCTCCTCAAGTATCTCATCGTTAACTATAATAGAGTATGCTATTATGTTTTGGGTTGCTTTATTTTAACGTTTTAATTTTTAACTGCAATAAAAGATTTATGGATCGAGATGCGCTTTCTTATATGCACTCTCACTTTTGGCAACTTATGCACAAGACTGAATACTGTTCCTTCTTTTCCCGCTAACTATGGGGAGGATAAGAAATGTTTGCAACATCTAAAGGCCTGTCCTGATTTGCTAAACTTGCAAACATACTTCTTGCTCCCAGCTTCGGAATTGAAGGGGTATTGGGACATATGCAGAGAACTTGGCTCAGTAGTAGTAACTGTGAGAGGGACCTTGGCGTCCTAGTGCAGGCGTCCCCAAATCCCAGGCCACTACTGGGCCATGGCCTACTTGGAACAGGGCCGTGCAAAAGGTGGGCCGGTGTGCGTGTGCATGTGCATGGGCACACAACTCCACTTGCTCAAGCAGCACCCAAAGCTTTCTCTTCTCTCTTGCACGAGTGGAGCTGCACGTGCATGTGTGCGCGTCGGCACACCATTCACACGACCCAGTTCCCCTCTTCCCCCACCCACCCAACCACGCCGCCCAGCCATAAAGATCCTAGTGGACAATCACTTAAATAGGAGCCAGCTGCCAAAAAAGCCAACACAGTGCTAGGCTGCATTAACAGAGGGATAGAATCAAGATCCCGTGAAGTGTTAATACCACTTTACAATGCCTTGGTAAGGCCACACTTGGAATACTGCATCCAGTTTTGGTCACCACGATGTAAAAAAGATGCTGAGACTCTAGAAAGAGTACAGAGAAGAGCAACAAAGATGATTAGGGGACTGGAGGCTAAAACATATAAGGAACGTTTGCTGGAATTGGATATGTCTAATTTAATGAAGAGAAGGACAAAGGGTGACATGATAGCAGTCTAAGGGCTGCCACAAAGAAATGGTGGTTAACTTATTCTCCAAAGCACCAGAAGGCAAAACAGGAAACAATGGATGGAAACTAATCAAGGAGAGAAGCAACCTAGAACTAAGGAGAAAGTTCCTGACAGAACAATTATTCATTGGAACAGCTTGCCTTCAGAAGTTGTGGATGCCCCATCACTGGAGACTTTTAAGAAGAGACTGGACAGTCACTTGTCTGAAAGGGTAGGGTCTGCTGCACAACCTGCACAGGTTGGACTAGAAGATCTCCAAGATCCCTTCCAGCTCTGTTGTTCCATGTTCTATGTCTTCTATGATGAAATGCAAAATTGAGCATGAAGGATAAAAACAAAAATAATTTATCGTTTATTTTATAGCAGAGGAAGAAGGGACGTCGGCAACGGAGCTAGTTATTTCTGTGGATCCACAGTCAAGCGAGGAAAGAAGGGAATTGGAGAAGGAGTCGTTGGATGACTTTGAGGTGGTTTATTTGGAGGGAATGTCAGAGAGTCAGTTTCTACCTCCTCTGCTGTATGAAGATACAAATGATTTCAAGGTAAAGATTTATCTTCCTCCTCTAAGATTCAGCAATGGTGGAACGGGAGAAGTAGATGGGTTGAGAACTGTGTCAGTTGTCTATCCCTGTTGAATAGACTTGCCTCCAGAAGTTGTGAAAGATCCAACACTGGAAGTTTTTAAAGAAAAAATTGGTCAACCATTCGTCTGAAATGGCGTAGGGCAGTGATGGCGAACCTTTTAGAGACTGAGTGCCCAAAAACCAGCCCCTCCCTGTCCTGGCTGCTCTGTCCCTCCCCCCGCTCTGCCTCCACCACACCCCTCCCGCCCGCAGGGCCACTCACTGCCTCCACGGCCCACTGCAGATTGCCCAGGCGGCCCAGCAGCGCCATGGCGGCTACACCATCCACCCACGCCCCGCAGCATCAACTGCACGCCACAGGGCGCGAGGGCGGAGTCTTGTCCCCGCTGCTTGGCTGCACTGCTCCGCACAGGCCGCGCCCGTGGGGTGACTCTCCTCCAGGGGGGCTGCTGGTGAGAAGGGAGCCACAAGGGGAGGCGGGGCTGGGATGACGGTGCACGTGCCCTCAGAGAGGGCTCTGGCGTGCGTGCCATAGGTTCGCCACCACTGGCATAGGGTTTCCTGCCCGAGCAGGGGGTTGGACTAGAAGACCTCCAAAGTCCCTTCCAACATTCTTTCATTCTGTTATTCTGGATGACATTGGATTAGGGTTAATAAGAACTTCAGCCTGTATGTTGTTGGAGATGCAAGTCCAGTGACATTGACTCTTCATCCCAAAGCCCGAGGGACAGTGTTTTTCAACATTGGCCACTTTAAGATGGGTGGACTTCAACTCCTAGCATGCAGGATGACTGGGGGGATTCTGGGAGTTGAAGTCCATTCCTCTTAAAGTGGCCAGCTTTGAAAAACATTGCATTAGATCCATGCCTAGGATGTTGGCAAGGGGCAATTTGCCCTCCAGGCCAAGGTAGATGGTCATCTGTTCCCATAAAAAGCCTACAACTTAATTGTCTTACATATTGTAGAATTTAAAACAAACAGTCAAAGAAATTATCCTCTCCCACAAGGAACATCTGTCTCTTACCCCCTCTTTTATTTTTCCAAGAATGCTTTAAGGCAGGACTCTTCAAACTTGGCCACTTTAAGACTTGTGGACTTCAACTCCCAGAATTTCTCAGCCAGCCCTGAGGGCTGGCTGAGGAATTCTAGGAGTTGAAGTCCACTAGTCTTAAAGTGGCCAAATTTGAAGAGCCCTGCTTTAAGGCAACTTAGCTTAATCAGGGCTGACTCAGCTTCATCCTGCATCCTTCCTGGAGTGTCTGATGACTTGCAATATACAGGTCGTCCTCGACTTACGACCACAATTGAGCCCCAAATCTCTGTCGTCAAGTGAAACATTTGTGAAGTGAGTTTTGCCCCGTTTTACGACCTTTCCTGCCACAGTTGTTAACTGAATCACTGCAGTTGATTAAGTTAGTAACCCGGTTGTCAAGCGAATCTGGCTTCCCCATTGACTTTGCTCGTCAGGCGGTCACAAAAGGGGATCACATGACCCCAGGACACTGCAACCGTCATAAATATGAACCAGCTGCCAAGCATCTGAATTTTGATCACATGGGGATGCTGCAACGGTCGTAAGTGTGAAAAATGGTCATACGTCACATTTTTCAGTGCTGTTGTAACTTGGGTGACTAAATGAACGGTTGTAAGTCAAGGACGACCTGTATTTCCCCAATCCTTACTCAGCTTTCGAACCTGTGTGTAAGTTACTAATGACAGCCATTGTGTTTTTATAGAATACTTTATTATCCATATTATCTACATGCATGGGGCATATGCATGTACAGTAGTGGCCAAAATTGTGGAAACCTTTTGGGAAAAGGGTACAGTAGAAATGCCACCTTTGGTTAACTTTCCACCAATTTTTCTTCTAATTTCTTTATAACTGTAGCCTTGTTCACTTAATAATATTATTTTACATCGCTTTCTGGATGACCGGTCAACTCTTTGCACCATTACTTTAATTTTATTACGTTTTACAAGCTCACTAAATGAAAGAACCACAAAAAAAACCCAACCAACTTGATAGCGATCACATAACACACCAACAAATGTCCTCCTCTCAGCTTCAATACATGACATCAATCACTGAATCCTACTGTGATCTGATTGGCTCATGGCCAAAACAAGAAGACACCCGATTGGCTCTCTAAACGCTCATGCTCATTGGCTACAATCAGATGAAGGAAAGCTACCCGATATCAACCTAAGCAAGTTGTGCTTCCTTTTTCTGGTTATTTGGCTATAACTTTTCATGGAATACAGTACAGATAATTGAACAAACTGTGTTGCATTACATTCTTGATTAAATTATCTTTCCATTGATATATAATTTTATGGTACTACTCCCCCAAAAAGTGGTGTTATTAGCCATCAAACCTCAAAAATACACTTTTCCCAAAAGGTTTCCACAATTTTGCCCACTACTGTAAGTATAAAGGATGGGTTCAGGGCGAAATGGGAGTTATTCAAACGTATTTACCACCAAATAATACCATCCTCTTTTGCTCTGAATCAAGGAATATAAGGAGCTGGGTCCTCTGGATGTGAAATTAATGTGTGCCGTGGGGCAGCAGATGCCAATTCATGAAGACAACAAAGAAATGCCCAGCAAAGCTCAGTTGGAAGAGAGGTACGACCCAAACAAAACTGCGCAGCACATCACCTACCGTATGATCAAATCTGTATTTCCATAAAAGAGAGGAAGGCAAACGGGAAGGTCCTTCCAGAGATTCGGAGTGTCTAAGATTCCCTTTTGGCGCTAGGGACCGTTGACTTGCATATATGAAAAAGCGGAAGAAGAGTTAAAAATACCGGCTGTCAATCGCTGAGGCTTCTTTTGCAAAACCGATCTACAAATTAAACAGATTTGCTTCGGATGCACCGGGAAAGAACGCATGTTGCTTTTTACGGAAATACATAAAAAACTTGCTTGTTACGGAAATGAAGTGTGTGAATTCTTTATGTCTGGCAGAGGAAAACTTCCAATGAAGCTTTATCTCGGAGGGGTGGGGGGGGGTCTGCACGAGGGGGCAATTTTTTTCCATCCTTTTCCCCCCAAAAGTAGTAGTAATAATAATAATAATAATAATAATAATAATAATAATAATAATAATAATAATAATAATAATAATAATAATAATAATAATGTTGGAAGGGACCTTGGAGGTCATCTAGTCCAACCCTCTGCTCAGACAGGAAACCCTATACCATTTCGGACAAATGGCCGTTCAGTCTCTTCTTAAAAACCTCCAGTGTTGGAGCATTCACCGTTTCTGGAGGCAGGTTGTTCCACTGGTTAATTGTTCTAATTGTCAGGAAGTTTCTCCTTAGTTCTAGGTTGCTTCTCTCCTTGGTTAGTTTCCACCCGTTGCTTCTTGTCCTGCCTTCAGGCGCTTTGGAGAATAGCTTGACTCCCTCTTCTTTGGGGCAGCCCCAGAGATATTGGAAGGCTGCTATCATGTCCCCCCTCGTCCTTCTCTTCGTTAAACTAGACATACCCAATTCCAGCAACCGTTCCTTATATGCTTTAGCCTCCAGTCCCCTAATCATCTTTGTTGCTCTTCTCTGTACTCTTTCTAGAGTCTCAACATCTTTTTTACATCGTGGTGACCAAAACTGGATGCAGTATTCCAAGTGTGACCTGAGTCTGAGTGTGCCCCTTTGGCATCTGTGGGTTAATCCTATTATGTCCTGTCTTAAAGTTTGGGTGGGGTATGTAGATTTTAGGTATCTTTGTCATCCTAAGATTGTAGCTGGAGAGCTCCAACCTTCCTGTATGGCAGTGATGGCAAACCTTTTAGAGACTGAGTGCCCAAAAACTGCCCCCCCACCGCCTGACCCACCCACCCACGGGCCATCCATCACCTCCACGGCCCGCCGCAGATTACCCAGGTGGTCCAGCAGCGCCGTGGCAGCCACGCCCTCCACCCGCGCCCTGCAGCATGAGCTGCACACGACGGGTGCGAGGGCGAAGTCTTGTCCCTGCTGCTCGGCTACCATGTCCTTGGCTGCGCTGCTCCATGCAGATTTAGTGAGTGCAGGAAAATGGGAGTTATCAGAATTTGTGGGAACGTAACAACTCTAGGTTGATGCTTCACTTGATTCTGCCCCGCCCCAAGCTCTACCTGCTCTTTTCCTACATCTACTTTTTAATGATGCCTATATTAGAAATGAAGCAAGGTGAGGTGTTGTCTCTGAAGTTTCTAGAAATACCATTGCCAAATTCATTGATTTTGTTCTGGGTCTATTTCTAGAGCCCCCCCAAGACTTGATTTTTTGGGAGGTCTCTCAATGCATGTCTGAAAGGGCAAAGGTGACCACCAACCTGAAAATGGTTGTGTTTCGTAGCAGCATATCTCACTGTAAGTAGCACCCTTTAGATTCAGTCAGCTGAAAGGATGAGACAACCATTTGTGTATAGATTTTTTTGTAAAAAAGAAAAACGACCCTTACCAACATAAACGTTGACGTTCTATTCCAAAGCCTGAGAAAGAATAAACTCTACCCACCCGTTAAGTTTCAGTGTGTACAGGACTAGAAAAAGGATCAATGCTTGCCACAATTTATAGTTCATTTGAAGCAGAACACTAATAGGAATTTCTTTTTTTAAAAAAGTCTACGAATAGTCTATGGCAGACATGCCAAACACAAGGCTCGGGGGCCGGATGCGGCCCGCGAAGTGGTTTCATGTGACCCGCGAAGCCATCCTGGAAACAGTGAGGGAACGGCCCCCACTGCCTTGGCCCTGGCCCAGGCCGGCCGGGAGCTAATGTAGAATTTTGTGGTGGCCATCTATGCTGAAATGTATTCAGTCTTAGCTCCACAAGGCCGTCTAGAAACAGCGAGGAACCAGCCCCTGCTGTGTCGCCCCCGCTCCCTGGGTGCATGCTGGGGAGGTGTCACCCTTTGTGAGGAATGAAGAAATGGACCATGCCTTGGCGCTTGTCCCGGTCCCACCCCTTTCTGCCAGAGACCCTCAGATCTGTCCCACTCCTGCCCAGGCACCCACAGGCACCCTTGACGTGAATGATGTAGAGCTGGCCACGCCCACCCAGTAGGCCACACCCACTCCATCCACGCCCACCCAGTAGGCCGCACCCACCCTGGCCACACCCACCTGCCCCTCCCCCGAGGGCAACCGCAATGCTGATGCGGCCCTCAATAAAATTGAGTTTGACACCCCTGGTCTATGGACTACATTCTGCTGTTTTGTTTTGGCTTTCTAAGTTACTTAAATTCCTGTATTCTGAGTGCTTTTCTTTTCTGCTAGTAAAAACCAGGGCCTCCCTTTCCGCCTTGCTAGACCCTGAGGAAGTTGTCCCTAAAGTAACTGTACCAACAGGCTTAATCCATAAAGAAGTTTCTGTTGATACCTATGAAAAAGAACATAGGGAATGCAATTTGTGGAGGGGAGGAATAGGATCATATTTAGCTGAATGTTCCTCCTAGATAAAAGATGCCCTGTTTTATGAAGACTAATGATCCAGAAACAGGACCTAGCCTAGAATTCTCCTAGAGATGCATTCTGAAGCAGAACATGCCACATCAAGTTCCTGCTTCCGTGAAAATTCAACAGGGAGTGGAGGGGGCAAAGAGAAACCTACGGGCACCCATACTTTCTGAACCAGACTTCCCAGCATTCCTCACTGCCACGCTGATTGTTTAGCTCAGTGGTGGCGAACCTATGGCACAGGTGCCAGAGGCGGCACTGGGAGCCCTCTCTGTAGGCACACGTGCCGTTGCCCCAGCCTTGCCTCCCCCGCGACCCTCACCAGCAGGCCCCCTGGAGGAGAGTCGCCCCCGTGTGTGGCCCACCCGGAGCAGTGCAGCCAAGGACATGGCAGCCAGCCAGAGTAGGCAAGACTCTGCCCTCACGCCCCATCGTGCACAGTTGATGCTGCGGGGCGCGGGCAGAGGGCGTGGCCGCCATGGTGCTGCTGGGCGATCTGCGGCGGGCCCTGGAGGCAGTGAGTGGCCCTGCGGGCAGGCGGGGTGGGGGCGGGGCAGGGAGTGGAGCGGGGGCACTCGGTCTCTAAAAGATTCGCCATCACTGGTTTAGCTCCTCTATACATGGAGCGGTTCCAGATTCCTCGTTTCTTTAAAAAAAATGGCAAAAACCCAAGAATTCCGAACTTAGTACAACTCAGTTCTTAAATTTACATTCTTTATTGAGACATGACTTGGGGATGTTGTAAAAGGTTAGCTGTCTGTAAGTAGGAGTGTGGTGGCTCATATGGTTGGTTAGGGGGTTGACGACTGGCAGGCTTTGCGTTCGAGACCTGGTTGCTGCCATGCCGCAGGCTGAGCTCCTGTCACTCGCTTCAGTTCCTTCAACCCAGCAGTTCAAAAGCAGGCGATGGCGGGTAGATGGGTACCGCTTTGGTTAGCAACTTGAGGAGGATATGAAAGGAGCCCCCAACTGGGCGTCCTCCGGAAAAGGATGATGTCAGCTGTTGACCCTTTCACCACAGAAGTGCTTCCGTGCTTTGCAATAGTTTAGGACAAGGGTAGGCAACCTTGGCTCTTTTATGACTCGTGGACTTCAACTCCCAGAATTCCTGAGCCAACATGGCTCAGCTTGGTGACCTCTCCCTTTCCCCTCAGCATGGCTGGCTCAGGAATTCTGGGAGTTGAAGTCCACGAGTCATAAAAGAGCCAAGGTTGCCTATCCCTGGTTTAGGACTATTTATGAAGACCTCAGTCCAAACACCAAACATAGTATTACCTGCAGCAGCTGGTGACAATTTTTCTTCTCACTTACTGAATTTACACAATAGCTAAAGTTGCTATTTTTGCCCGGCAATCCTTACAGAAATAAATTTCACCCCCTCACAGATTCATACCGCAACTCAAAAGGTTTGTGGAAGCTGCATTTTATTTGAAAATCCACCTTTTTTGCTAACATACATATCTTAACGTTTTAAACAAAAATAGAATCTGCAGAGACAATGCAGCAAATATGCTTAATTCATGTACAGAATTGCTTTCATGCCCCCAGACTATCCTCCTTAAGGCCCCAAATGCCACCTAAACCGATAGGATGTATTTACATATAGCACCGATCCACAGTGCCGTTTTCAAATTCACCAAAGAACAAAAAGGGATTCCTATGTGTGCTGAGAATCCAGGGCGCCAGGAAGTCATCCCGAACGAGATGCGGTGGAGCTTCCCCTGGAGAACTTCATGGTGGGTTGTCCGTAGCAAGGACGCGACTTCCCTTCGGAGAGTTTTATTCCACTTCTTGGTACATGATTCAAACGCAGAAGTCTCTTTCCCCCCCCCACGTAATACACCAGAACTGTCCGCAGTTGCTTGCTTGTTTTGTTTTTCTTTTATACAGAGAAGGAAAGTCTTTGAAAGTGAAAGCAATTCCTCACATTCATTTGGAAAAGGCTGTTATGTCAAGTGTAAGATAAATGGCATGCCAAGCAAAAAGCAAGGAAAAGCTTTCTCAAAGCACCGAGGAGGACGCTGGTCGAAAAACAACCATGCTCCCACCAGTCAGCTGTTTCCGCCTCCCTTCCCCAAATCTTTAGCAGAACTGGCAACTCCGATCACTCTAATTGCTGGGGGGGGGGGTATTCAACAAGGGGCGGTTTTTTTCAGACCTTGGAACGTGCCCAATATTCTGCATGGCGGAGTGTGGATTGAGAATTGTCTGGAAATTGTTCCGGTGGATAAAAAAAAAATAATGAAAGGAAACGAACTCTAATGGGAGACCCAGAGTATACATCGGCATTCATTTCTCCACAGAGGAGGCTTTGTTGTGATACATTTGTTATTTAAACGGATAATCATAAATAAATACAAACAATAATACATAAAGGAATGTCTATGCAAACGGAATATATAATTCGGTGGGGTTGGGTTTTTTTTTTTCTTCTCCTTTTTAAGTTAAACTTTTCGGTATGGAGCCTAACGTTTGTGATGAATGGAGAGAGGAAGCTGCAGAATTACAGAGTTAGGATTCGATCCTCTAGAGAAAAGTCGCTGAAGGTAAGGAAATAAAATGTGTCCAGCTCTTCGTTCCAAAGAGCAGTTTCGAGAACGCTATTTAGCAGGATAGGCACCTTTTTTTATAGGTTACCCATCCAAGTTATAAAATAGGGGGTGGGAGTTACTAATATGTTAAGTTACCACAGGAGCGGGGGGGAGGGGGGAGTAGAAAAAAGATCCCACACCAAATTTGTGGCAATTCTTGGCTTTATACCACGCTGCAAGGTGCTGAGGTTGGCCGAGAGACCCACAACCGTTGTGGGCTTTGCATGATTTGAGTCTGTTCTACTGGAGAGCTGGAGAGACTTTCGTTTTGACTGAGCTGCAAAAAAGGGGGTTGGTCACTGAGCACGTGTCTTTTCTGGAACTTTCTCACTCCAAGCCATCTGGCATGACTACATGAACTGGATCTGAGAAAATAAAATGAAATCAGGATTAGCGTGTTGATATCTGTAGCTTGGGGTTGAACTATGAGGCTTCTTGGTGATTGTTTTCCTGTTGTAGACATTTCATTACCCAACTAGGTAACACCGTTAAGGGCCGCACTGATGTTACCCAGTTGCGGGATGAAACATCTGCAAGAAAGCAATGTCGGAGTGCACCAAAGAAGTCACAGGTCACCCTATCAATGTCAGCACACAACTCTTGTCTTAATTTCTTATCTCATCCCTTTGCTCCCCACATGTTTAATACCTAAAGGAAGCCTCCAAAGGATCTCTAATGCGGTCAACATCAGTCTACAACGAAAGATATAAATTATTGGGGGGGGGGGGGGGGAAACTGCCTTATGTTACACAAAGGTACAATTGGTTTCCATTCAACAGAGATGGAGGATGTGGCATAGCTGTGGCAGCTGTTTTATTTACGCCACCCTTCAGCCCAATGAGGAATTTATAATACAGGTGGCAACTCTGACAGATGCAGAAGATGGAGAAATGGAATCACAGGCACAGTGGGGTGACTCCTCGCACGAACTAATCCAACAACGTGATGGAAGGGCAAACAAAAACAACAACAACCATGTTCTTCTGGGAACCTAATAACACTAGAAAGAGATTTAATACTTGGGAGAATGACATTAATACTTGAATCCAGCCATTTACAATCTTTGTGTAGATCTATTTGGTATGTATTCAGGATACGCAACTGGAGAGATTCGGGTCTGTGGGACGTGGGGCTCACTTATTACACCTGGGAACACAGCAGAATAGGCTCTCAAGATACCAGCTGCGGGATCGGATTAAGATGTCCCTCCACATCCAACAATACCTACAAACCTGTATATTTTATTATTTTCAACCAACATCACATTGTTTTCAGAGTTTTAGCGGCAATGCTAAATGCTGGAAGCTTCCTTTCACACCATCGGGACACTTTGCTGGAGCCCCTGCTGGGCATCACATCAAAACCTCCAGACGTGCAATTTTGGGGAGACCTCCCCAACGCGAACAATATTTTGATGTGATCATGGTAAGGAGGGGCCCTCCGTTACGACAAAGGGGTTGTTCCTAGGAGGCAGCACCCAAGTGGCCAATGTCTCCCCCCCCCCCGCCCCAAAGTGAACATGCGATACCTAAATGGTCCTACAAGAAATCCTCTGCAAAGGGATCCTTTCCTGAAGGTCTGTGTGGACTCTGAGTGGATGGACTGGAGGCGGCAGACAGCTGGGAGAGAAGATGGCGGAAAGGGGGAGAGAGAGAGAGAGAGAGAGAGAAAGAAGGCCTCAATGACGGAACCAGGAAGGCAGGAAATGTAATGATGGAAGAGGTAGTTAGGAGACAAGGTAGTTACAGCAGAGGTGAACTGGTTAGAAGGAGACAAAAAAAAGAATCATGGCGTGAAAAGTTCATTTCTGCTTCCATCGTAGGGTAGTTAGAGGACATCAAAATAAAGATTCCCCTAGAAACAGGGAATGCAGTATTTGGATGTGGCTAGCAGAAAATGTTGACATCTCAACCAGTTAAAGGTGGCCCTCGACTTAACCATTCGTTTAGTGAACTAAGTTACAATAGCATTGAAAAAAGAGAGCTTATGCCTGGTTTTCTCATTAACGACTGTTGCAGTTTCCCCATGGTCATGTGATCAAGACTCAGATGCTTGGCAACTGGCGTGTGTCATGTGTCTGATTAACGAAACACTTCAAAGAACTTTCAGGCATTTTTTTAACCTAAAAGCCTTTATAATACAGGTGCAAATACTGTATATTCTTGCTTTGACAATATGCAGAACTGTCTGGTATTTCTGGGGTTAATACAGAGCAGAAGAGGGTGGGGGGGGGGGTAAAGTTAGGGAAAGAAAGAGGAAGGACAGTGCAACTGTCATAAACACAGTGTGTCTTTATGACAGTTGCACTGTGGGGGGGGGGTGTCATGTGATCACCATTGCCGACCTTCTGACAAACAAACTCAACGGGGAGGCCAGAGATTCACTGAAACAACTGTGTTATTAAAGCTGCAGTGATTCCCTTAACGGCTGTGGCAGGAAAGGTGGTAAAGTGGGGCAAAACTCATTTAACAACTGTCTTGCTTAGGGAAATTGTGGTCATAAGTCGAGGACAACCGGTAGTGGCCTGGCTAATTATCTCCATAAGGCCAAAACCAGAGATTCGCTTTCTAATTATCTCCATAAGGCCAAAACCAGAGATTCACTTTTTGTCTTTCAGCATTTGCCTAATGTGGTGTTAGATTTCAAAACTGCCTCAGGCATTAAAGACCTCAACCTTTCCTTATACATAGAAGGACAATGTACTTTGTAGAGCAGATATCAGCAACAAGAGGGGTGATACCAGCCTGGCTACAGATGGGTTATTTATTGGGTTCCAGAGTAAATACACCAAAAATGGATATTAAGAATGCAATGGAATTGATAACAGTAATAAAAAAGTTGGAAGGGACCTTGGAGGTCTTCAACCCCCTGCTCAGGCAGGAAACCCGATAGCATTTCAGACAAATGGCTGTCCAGTCTCTTCTTAAAAACTTCCAGTGTTGGAGCATTCACAACTTCTGGAGGCAGGTTGTTCCACTGGTTAATTGTTCTGACTGTCAGGAAGTTTCTCCTTAGTTCTAGGTTGCTTCTCTCCTTGATCAGTTTCCATCCGTTGCTTCCTGTCCTGCCCTCAGGTGCCTTGGAAAATAGCTTGACTCCCTCTTCTTTGGGGCAGCCCCTGAGATATTGGAAGACTGCTCTCATGTTATCCTTCGTCCTTCTCTTCATTAAACAATTAATGAATTAACAATAAACCATTGCTTATTTTGGTTTTGTCCCCTCAAGTGGCTATCTGCACCAACCTCTTTTCACTATGCCAGCTCTGCTTTTTTGATTTTATATTGAGGATTCTTCACGCCCAATGGGTAACATCCTCTACTTAAATTACAGGCAGAGACAGCACATCAACAAAAGGCCTCTACAATCACTTCCTGCCTTTCACCGTAGTAGCCGAAACTATTCGACCTACGTGTGTGTTTGTACAGGGAAAGGAGAATTAAAAAAAAAAGAGGACAGATGTAAAATTCTGGAAGAAGGATATATTTTAAAAAATAGAGCAAGAATTACAGCAAACTGGCAGAGTGCCTTCTTCTCATTTGGATGGTTTCCAGGCTTAGCATTTGGCAAGTCAAGTTAAAAGGAACAAATCTGCCCGACAGATCTGTAACCAGACCGAATCGGCCAGGGTGGACAACATTTTCATGTCCAAAATATACACAACTCAGGGTTCCTTCTGGGAATCAAAGACTGCAAGCTGGGTAGAGCTACATTACAGGGAGTCCTCGAGTTATGACTGTAATGGACCCTGCCCATGATGATGGTATGACCTTGTGATCATAAATCAGGTCACCCTTGTGACCTAGCAACAGAAATAGCACTTAGACTTACATACCACTTCACGGTGCTTTACAGCTCTCTCTAAGCGGTTTATACAGTCAGCATATTTGCCCCCAACAATCTGGGTCCTCAGGTTATCAGCCTCGGAAAGATGGAAGGCTGAGTCAACCTTGAGCCGGTCAGGATCGAACTCCTAGCAGTCGGCAGAGTTAGCCTGCAATACTGCATTCTAACCACTGTGCCACAACCACTGCGCCACCACGACCCTTTCCGGTGGTGGTGGTGAAGCAAATGCTGGTTTTTGACCAAAGTGTCGTAAAATGCAGTCACGTGACTACAGATTGTTACAAAATGGTCATGAATGTGGGCTGGCTGCCCAGTGCTCAAAGGTCATGTGACCGTGGAGGGTGGAAGCACCAGAACTTTGAATTTGGGTCATAAGCATCGACACCCCCGCCCGGGAGGTCCATTTTTAACTTCAAATGGTCACTAAGCAACCGGTTGAGGTCTACCTGCATCGCTTGTGATACGCTTGTTTTGGGTTTACGTGACAGTTTTCATCAGTTCTGAATAATCTTTATTAAAAAAGAGTTCAAAGGCTACAACAATGGAAGTTAAGGAATATATACAGCCCAGAGGACAAAACTCTTTATCCAAGAGTAGGCAGTACTGGCTAATAGATAGGCAATCCTATTGGTTTTGCTGCAATTTTTGAACCTTAAGACAATGAAATTAACATTGAAACCCTTATTTCCAGATTTGGCACTTTTACATGCCCAAGCCTACGTACTGCTTACTCAGATATGTTCTGTGAGACAGTTTCAAGGTTAATCTACTACAAACAACACAACTGGAGACTATTCCAACTGGGGTTGGACTGGAAGACCTCCTAAGGCAGGGGTAGGCAACCTTGGCTCTTTTATGACTCGTGGACTTCAACTCCCAGAATTCCTGAGCCAACATGGCTCAGCTTGGAAACCTCTCCCTTTCCCCTCAGCATGGCTGGCTCAGGAATTCTGGGAGTTGAAGTCCACGAGTCATAAAAGAGCCACGGTTGCCTACCCCTGTCCTAAGGGCTCTTCCAAGCTTGTTATTCTATATTATTCTATATTCTAAGATACCTCTGTATTTCTCAAGATTAACATGCTATTAGAGTAACTGCACAAGTTAGGTGAAGGGAAGGGAATTTTTTTTCCCTGTTGCTGTTCTGGGGCCTTTTAAAGACAATTCCCCTTATGTTTATAGTCTTATAGTTCAAAACTATAAGCAGATATTATCAATATGCCAAAGTGGTTCTCTGCTCCATGTCAACTGTCAAGACATAATTTGCTTTCTGCTAGAAATAGGCTAGTTATGTTTAGAATATAATCTACAAGTGGGTCCAAGGTATTTAAAGCCTGGCTTAATCCTTCCTACCCATGGCAACTGTCTTCCAAACAGCAGTCCCATATTGGCATTTGTTTAAAGTAAACATTTTAGTCATACGTATACATAATAGTTCAGTAACACTGAATGTGGGAAGGTGGAACACAATTCTATTAAAAGCACTCAAATTGCCCCAAATACCTAAAAATATCACTCTGATCCAAGCTTTCCCATGGGACTTTTAATTCCTTCCATGTTCTGGTTCCAGCACAGGATATCAACTTCATCAGGAGAGTGAAACAAAATTACATGCATCTGCTCCTTTGCCTTTGATAGCATGAATGCTTGTATGAGGTTTCTTTCATCTAGGCATCTCCCTTGGATGAGGAAAGGGCTTAAAGGAAAAGAAAACACATCAACGCACCCCCAACCTGGTTTAAGTCAGCCATGAAAACCTGGCTTTGGCCCATGCCCTAGGCTAGGAAATGCAGCAGACCCATTTGGGCGAAAATGTAGTGTTAAAGATGATTTTATTACTGTCTGGAGCAACCTTGGACATTTCCAGGCATGTGGACTTCAGCCTCCAGTACTGTCATCATTGGTCCTGCTGGCTTTGGAATTCTGGGAATTGAAGTCCACTCTCCTGGGAAATTCCCTTGGGGACCCTGGTCTGGAGGGTTATTGCTTTTTTCTCTGGTTTATGATGTTTTTGACTGTTTTTAATATTCTATACCAGTGGTGGCGAACCTATGGCACGGGTGCCAGAGGTGGCACTCGGAGCCCTCTCTGTGGGCACACATGCCGTTGCCCCAGCCTTGCCTCCCCCTGCGACCACCTCCTCACCAGTAGCCCCCCCTGGAGAGTCGCCCCCGAGCGTGGCCCACGCAGAGTAGCGCAGCCAAGGGCATGGCAGCCAGGCAGCGTAAACAAGTCTCTGCCCTCACGCCCCATTGTGCACAGTTGATGCTGCGGGGCGCGGGCAGAGGGCGTGGCCACCATGGCGCTGCTGGGCTGCCTGGGTGATCTGCGGCGGGCCCTGTAGGTGGTGAGTGGCCCTGCAGGCAGGCGGTGTGGGGGCGGGGCAGGGGTGGAGCAGGGGCGGAGCCAGTTTTTGGGCACTCGGTCTCTAAAACAGTGATGGCGAACCTTTTAGAGACCGAGTGCCCAAAAACTGGCCCCGCCCCCGCTCCACCCCCTGCCCCGCGCCCCTGCTTTGCCCCCCCATCCCCCATCCCACCTGCCCACAGGATCACTCACCGCCTCCAGGGCCCGCCGCAGATCGCCCAGGCAGCCCAGCAGAGCTATGGCGGCCACACCCTCTGCCCGCGCCCTGCAGCATCAACTGCATGATGGGGTGTGAGGGCAGAGCCTTGTCTACGCTGCCTGGCTGCCGTGTCCTTGGCTGCGCTGCTCCGTGTGGGTCACCCTTGGAGGCGACTCTCCTTCAGGGGGGCTGCTGTAGAGGGGTCGTGGGGGGAGGCGAGACTGGGGCAACGGCACGTGTGCCCACAGAGAGGGCTCCGAGTGCCGCCTCTGGCACCCATGCCATAGGTTCGCCACCACTGCTCTAAAAGGTTCACCATCACTGTTCTACACCCATCTAAAGTCTTTAGGGAGCTGCGCAGCCTTAGAAGTTTGATAAATGAATAAACAAGCTTACATTATCCACAATTACTTGCTTAGAGTTCGGTAATTGATACAATTTCCTTGTGCGTTCAGTCTATTTGTCATATGCTCTGCTCCATTCCTCTCCTCTCCTCTTCCTAATACAAATTTCCTTAGCCTGAACAGAAAGGGCGAACCTTTTGCTGTTAGGAAGCCATCAGTAATTCACAAATGGCTCTTGCTGTGAGAGCTGATGTTGGAGAACTTTGGCAGCAAAGGGGCTGAGAGAAGACAAGGCCTTTATCAAAACACAATGCAGGTGTTTTCCACCTGCAAGACCAGGAAACAAGTGGCAAGAAGGTTGTTACCGTGCTGGGTCAAAAGAGTCATTAGAACAGGGGCCTTCAAACTTGGCCCTTTTAGGACTTGTGGACTTCAACTCCCAGAATTCCTCAGCCAGCGTGCCTGGCTGAGGAATTCTGGGAGTTGAAGTCCACAAGTCCTAAAAGGGCCAAGTTTGAAGACCCCTGCATTAGAAGTTAAACCTTGGGGATGTTTTAAATAGAGGATAGGAAGGCCTAATTTTGCCGTATCCGAGCGTCCTTATTATAAGAGCTTCTTCGATTGAAACATCTAAGTTTTGACTTTTCTGCTCTTGGCCCCTGAGCCATGGTTGAGATATTTTCTGTTATGCTCTGGATGAAGCCGTGATAGTAGCAGTTACTGAACCCGGTCACGTTTATATCCTCCTATAAGCGCCCTTAAATGCAAAAACTTGTCTGTAGATCAGGACCACACAGGATAGGAACTGTACTACAACTGGAGAGAAGCAGATGGAGATGGAAGAGAACAGAATGAGGAAACTCTGTGGAAGTTTAATGAAGGAAGAGAGAGGGACATGCCATGAAGGTCCCCTTTCAGTTCCATGGCAAATGGTGAAAATTCCAGACTCATTCACTCCAGTTGCTCTGCTCTGGGCTAATATATTTAGTTCACGTAACATTGAAAGTTCACCCATGCATGCAGCTTCACTAACAAAAGACCTGCCAACACCAACGGGTGTTCCAAAAGGAACAACTCCTTCAAAACTCTAAGGCAGGCCCAGTAGAGGCGACACTCAGCCAGCAAATAGGCCTTCACAACAAGCCTTTGTTCCCTCACCAAGAAACTCTAATAAATCTGACATCGATGAAGCCAAACCAAGAGCAATGAGGAACCACAAATGGTTTAATTCCAGGGCAAACCCAGAGAATGCTTCCACTAAGGGTATGCTTCAAATAACAACAGCTGATTTGCTTATTCTTAAGTACACAGCCAGGATCAATCCAAGAATTTAGAAAGGGCGCAGGTTACGAATTACGAGAATTACGAGTTACGAGAAGGAATAGCTCATGACTGAGCCTTCCAAGATATATCCTATCTGTGAAAATACTGCTGGCATCAAATCTTTTTTTATTTTATTTTGGATAGTCTAAGGACAATTTTAGTTTGATAGTATAAAGCAGGGGTGTCCAATCTTGGCAACTTTAAGACCTGTGGACCAACTCCGACCTGCGGACTTCAGCATTGCTGGCTGGGGAATTCTGGAAGTTGAAGTCCACAAGTCTTGACGTTCCCAAGGTTGGACAACCCTGCTGGAAAGCTCTACAGTAGGGGTCTTCAAACTTGGCACTTTTAAGACTTGTGGACTTCAACTCCCAGAATTCCTCAGCCATCATGGCTGGTTGAGGAATTCTGGGAGTTGAAGTCCACAGGTCTTAAAGTTGCTAAGTTTGTAGGCCCCTGCTCTACAGTATCTACTTCCCTCTGAAGATCTAAATCAGGGGTGTCAAACTGCCGGCCCATGGGCCGGACGCATCATCCAGAAGCCGCGCGCCACCCCATTACCGGCAATGGCAAAACCGTCCTGATACGTTGTGTGACGTCATGTGACGTCGCGAGTTTGACATGTCTAATCTAAATAGACAAAAGCCCTCCCAATGTGCATCAGGATCTCTATCTTATCATTTCAGGTTTCAGCACCTTCCACGTGTTTTACAAAAGCTTAAGGAAGCAAGTTTGTGAACACAGAGACACCACAGAATTAAGTACCATCTTGATTTAAGAACGCCTCCAAGGGGAACTTTTTCACATTCTCACATAAGGGAGGAATAAAAATGGAACATTCCCTTTTTTATAAATAAGAAACCCCAAGTGTGCAATGACATCAGTACAATGAGAGGACACTGTACACATCCAAACCAGGTTAATACTTTAAGCCTCAGAAGTACAAACCTTATATTTCAACTGGATAGTGAGACCCATTTCTTTGTAATTTTCCTTTTAATACATCCCCTAGAAATATATATTATTTGTTCATTTTAATAATTCCACTGGTGCCTCCTCGGCTTCAACTTCTCTGACAGAAGAAAAATACTATTGTTCTTTATGAATTCATTTAGGAATTAATGGGCTCTGTTTTGTGCAGTTATTCTTTCTTTCTTGTGCCAGGTTCACTGTAAGCTCCCCAATCATTTGATTGTCATCTCAGAACTTGCGTCAGTGGGACCTCTTTTGAACAATTCTCATCCCAGATCTCTGGAGTCTTCTGGGGTATAATAAGCTTTCTTGAGACCCATTTGGACTATTCCATCTGGCTCAGAATGAAAGCCGTCTTAGATCAGAAACTAGTTTAACATTTGAACCAGATACGTCTAGTTTAATACGCCACGTATTAAAAATATTCAACTGATTTCATCCTTCTCAACAGAGGTTCTTCCTTCTACTTTCAGGGCTACAGAGTGCAAATTAAAACCTACCTGTGCTCCTGATATAGGACCAAAAGGATTTGGAGGTCTCATGACAGGCTGGCTGTATATTAAAGTTGGCTGCGTCATTACTGGTACTCCTCCCATTTGGGATGGCTAAGAATGCAGAACAGCACAGAATTAATGTTATGAAATAAAATAAAATAAAATGATGACATGCCCACGAAGAGTATGCTTTGAACCATCATCTTCTGTTAACAAGACAGTAGAATATTTATGATAAGAGCAGGATGGCTTAGCCCAGGGGCCTTGAAACTTGGCCCTTTTATGACTTGTGGACTTCAACGCCCAGAATTCCTCAGCCAGGCACGCTGGCTGAGGAATTCTGGGAGTTGAAGTCCACAAGTCATAAAAGGGCCAAGTTTGAAGACCCCTGCTGTATATGCTCATAGACAGGGGTCTCTCCAAGACTTGTGGACTTCAACTCCCAGCATGGCTGGCTGAGGAATTCTGGGAGTTGAAGTCCACAAGTCATAAAAGGGCCAAGTTTCAAGGCCCCTGGCTTAGCCATTAGAGCTACCACAAAGAAGTCACTGGAAACTGTCATTTTTGTTGGCGGGGATTTTTCCCTACATAACCTCTCTGTCCTTTTAGGCAGGGATCTCCAAACTTGGCAACTTTAAGACCCGTGGACTTCAACTCCCAAAATTCCCATGCTGGCTAGAGAATTCTGGGAGATGAAGTCCACGAGTCTTAAAGTTGCCAAGTTTGGAGACCCCTGCTTTTAGGAATGGCCAACAAGAATCTGCTTTGGGTTTCCAAAAAGTAAGAGGCAAAAAAAATTAGCTCCAACCCAGAAGATACATACAAAATCTTTTTCACCATGTTTGTCCACGCATCATTTTAAGGTATTCTTATTCAGAAAGTACTTTTTTCATTTCAGTTGTAATAACTGAGCCTGATTGTTAATGTTTCTTATACCACCCATCTGTTTCAAGTTAAATCTAATTTTAGCTGTACATTTGTACAAATTCTGGAGTACATCTGGAAGGTATTAGAAGACTGGAAGCAAAAGAGTCTATTATTTCTTCAACTGGACTCCCACTTTTCCATCAAAATGTGCTCAAAGTAGTTTACCATGAGTGATTTTCCTAGCAAACTGAGATCACAAACCAGGAAAAAACCAGAAGTGATCTTGGCCATTGGGTATGTGGCATCTTGTCACAGAACAGTCTTCTTCCATAAACACACAAACAAGCACAATTAATATACTGGGAGGGGATGTCTACAAATTAATGCTCCTCAAATACAAACTTTACTGACCATCCCGTATCCCATCATTCCCGTTGGCGTTGTAGCAGGATAGGCCATGACAGGCGGTGCCTAATGGGAAAAGCATACCGTTAATTTGCTCTTTTTTAGCCTTGTGTTTTTATAGGTTTTAACTTTTTTTAATAACAACAATAATTGTTCTGTGTAGCTTAAGAGTATACACCTAGAATCCCTTGTTTGTGAGATAGGCAGCAACAAAGACCACGTAAACTTGATGAACAAATGGATAAATAAATAAATCCCCAAAGAAGAAACAATTTTTTTGTACCTTGACAAAAGACACAAGTTGATTTTATGCTGGTTTTTATTGTTAACTGGGGCTCTAATATTTTTGAGGGGAGATCGCTCTCCCCAAAGTCTAGTAACTGGGACAAGATAAAAGAATTGTGAATTAACACAATTATTGAACTGTTTATCTGACAATACTCTTGTATGACCTCCATTACCGGCTGAATCTCAACTGGCAACTCCATAATTTATTAGAATAATCAATTACTGATTAAAACAAGCAGTTTGGGACTGCTGTTCTTTTTAAGCTCCAAAGCAGAGTTGACAGATACATGAGATCACAGGTTAGTGCTGGTCCAGGTCAATATGGGAATCTCCACAGAGCTGGCAATTCCAACTTACTACCTTAAATGATTAAATTTTAGGTAGGAAGTTTACCAAAACATTAACAATTGCTCAATGAATCCCTGAAACTCCAGGAAAATGAACCCCCAATTTGATGGACTTTAGACAATTATTAGATGACTTATCAGGTATTTGCATAAAGTTCAACAACTATATGCCAGCACACATGTATTCTGAGTTTTTTCCTCCATGTCACTGCCAGTTAATATTGACAAGGTGTTTTGCAAGACGTGTGCCTTTACATTTTTTAGCATGCTAACCTACATAGCTTAGGCATGAATATCCTTAATTTTATATTAATTTTGGGACATGTGCTACAGTTTATGTGCTATCTGCCTCTTGATGTCATCTGCTGTCATATTTAACTGACATTCAGGAATATTGTGAATTCCCTTCCTCTTTCATGGTTCATTTAAACCAAGTTTCATAACACATCAAAAATAGAAGCATTTTCAAACAAAAATCCTACAAAATTCTCCATAGTCAAAATCCTTGTATACATTTCTCTTTGCAAGCAACAGTGTTTAAGAGTAATTTATCAACATATGTCATTTTCTCCTCCTTCTGATCAATAATAATTGATCAATAATAATAATCCTGCAATTTTTGGTCAATTATCGGAAAAGATAGCTTTAATGAACTTTAATGCAAAAATCCTACAAAGAGACCAATGGCTCCATAAAATGGCAAGCAGAAAAAACACATGTGCAGTATAGACGGGTAGAGTCATTTTGCTATGCAAAGTTTTCTGAATTTAGAGGAATAGAGGCATGTGTTATACCCATAATTTTATAAGAAATTCAACTGTCTGAAAAAGATTTTCCAACAAGATAAAAGTGAATGAAGGAAAACCTACAGTTTTTCCTATGGATTATACTAGATAGATAGATAGATAGATAGATAGATAGATAGATAGATAGATAGATAGATAGATAGATAGGTAGGTAGGTAGGTAGGTAGGTAGGTAGGTAGGTAGGTAGGTAGGTAGGTAGGTAGGTAGATAACTTTTATTGTCATTTTTTACTGTGGGCACAATGACACACATTAAAATGAAATTTAGCTGCTTGCTCTCAAAGTGTATGGAATCCAACTGGCTATTATTTACCATGATTAATGAAATGGCAGTGATTACTATTAACATAACCAAAGAAACAAAATACTGTATATATTGCATATACACGGCCATACATTTACTCATTTTCAACTGTTTTAAGGTGTTTTAAGATTTTTTTCTCCATGAAAAGATTACAGGGAAAGACCAATAATGATAAGGAAAGTAAAACCAAATGGGCTTAAGTATGATGTTCCAAACGAAAGAGCTGAAGAATTAAAGTTACTATGATTTTTGATGTATGGAAATTCAGCCGTAAGTGTCACATATAGAGCAGATTGAATTAACCAGAAGATAATCTAAAGGCAAAAACTTCTTTCAGTTAAACTTACCTCAGAAACAGGCAATGCTCAACTTACAACCATTTGTTTAATGACTGTTCAAAAGGGCATCAAAAAAGTGACTTATAACCTTTTTTTTTTTACTCTTATGACTGTTGCAGCATCTCCGTGGTCACATGATCAAAACCTGGACGCTTGGCAACTGACTCATATTTATGACGGGTTGTGGGGTTCCGGGGTTACGTGATCCCCTTTTACGACCTTCTGACAAGCAAAGTCAGTGGGGAATCCAGATTCACTTAACAACCGTGTTACTGACTTAACAACTGCAGTGATTCACTTAATAACCCTAGCAAGAAAGGTCGTAAAATGGGGCAAATCTCACTTAGCCAATGTCTCACTTAGCTTCACGTTGTGGTAGTAAGTTGAGGACTACCTGTTAGGATTTAGAATATAAAGTATTTAGAGACTTCATTCTTTAGCTCTTGTCAATACTTATGAACAATTAGATAGTCCGTTTGTGGATTATTATTTTTTGAAAAAATTATCATTAATGAACTTTTTTTTAGTGGAATGAGATAGCACACGGTGCAGATCAAACCCTTTTGAATCACCTCAGCAAACATGGGAAATATCACTCTATTCGGTGATATTTTAGAACATATTGGTCTCTCCCTCTTTGAAATCAAGTACTATGGTGGGTGGGAGTGGAAAGAAGCTTGTGAGATTTCATGCAATTATTTGTACGCACAAATGCCTTTTTTTCATTTAATTTATTCAAATTCAAATGCACTTAAAAAGGCAATGCGGAGGCAACACATCAGCTAATTGGGCAGCAAACGACAGAGTTAAAGCAGGAAAATAATTGTGAATATTTCTTCATGCCATTCTTGGCTTCAAAAGGGTGCCCTTAAAATCTGGATATATTAGAAGCTGCTCAAAATTTCCATCATGCCCAAATATCTTAACAGAAGTGTGCAATAGCAGGTTTATGAGATTCTGCTGTAGTGGTTAATATCAGCATGCCAATCGGATTGGGGGAAAAAAAAGAGAGAGGCTGCAGGTTTTGTTCACTTACGTATTGTGGAAAATGCATGCCATTCTGTTTTTCCCCCGGAAGAACAATTACACAATGCAATAACACTGGATTAGAAATGATTACTTACACAACAGAATATACACAAAGCATTTTGGTTACAAGTGTGCTTAGCAACCCTGAGGAGCACATTCTTGTAAACCAATAAGACGTTTAGCAAAAACAAGGAAATTAACAAGATTGATAAATCTGTGACAGAACGTATAACGTAATCTATTGTCGGCAAGTTTGTCACATTTCTGACATACTGGACTCCAGTAATTTATGACAAAACACTGACGAGAAAATGAGACAACATAGTGTTAAAGCAGAAGATTAAAGCAAAACACTACTTTTTCCGATCCCAATAGGTCATGAAAACTCAAAACTTTGCATATGGTATAACACAAAGCCTAAATTACACCCATGTTTCCTATAAAACTATTTCATTCCCATATTTGTGATCTGTAAGAATATTGGGGTTTTTTTTTAAGACTTGGTTTTAAATTTAAAGTTATTGCACAATTTACTTGGAAGCCTCAGTCTTCATTCAGGTATGAAAAGTTAGGGCAGGGCTAGACGTTGTGATGGTCACAAGGATTTCTTTGTTGTATTAAGTCCTACAAGAACTGGATCCTGGCCCAGAAAAGTTGGAAGGACTCATCACGATTGCTTCCACAGCTAATTTCCCCTTTCTGAAATGGTTTAGAAATATTTCTTGATGACCAAGAGTTGGGGAGGTCAAGGATAGGTTTAAGAAGGGGAGGCTTCCCCAAACTTCAGTCACCCCCCCCCTTTTTTTTTTTTAGCAAAACATGCCTGGAAGGCTTTTTAGTTTAGCCTTCACATTAAAACACAACTATAACAACTGCATGTTCTTTTATGATTGTATTTTTGTGCCTCTTCTTTCCTTGTTCTGTTCATTAAGATACTATATTGTATTCTTAGAGCAAATACTGCCTTAAGAATATTCAGATACAGGTGGTCCTCGCATAATGGCTGCTCATTCAGTGAGCATTTGAACATAAGTCAGCGCTGAACCAGTGGTGCTTACAACCAGCCATTGCAACATCCCCATAGATGTGTGATCGTGATCTGGGCCTGGATTTCTGTCACAGCATCCCACAGTTATATGATTGTGATTTGTGACCTTCCCTGCCAGCTTCCCACAAGCAAAGGCAAGAGAAATACCCCTCCCCTTCTTTTTAAACAAAAGATAAGACTTTGAATGTGCCTTTTAAGGCTACTGCTGATGTTAACTTCAAATTGGGTATTTATCAGCCACTATGAAATGTCCTGAATCTAATCCAAAAGAGAACCTTTGTAATTTGGATAGCCAGGTTTTCTAGAGTACATAACCAGAATTCTTGATGATACATTATATACCCAGAATACAATTTAAGCTGCTGGATTCATGAAGCTCCCTATGGCAGCGGTCTCCAACCTTTGCGGCTTGGTGGCCCAGCTGGAGGGGGGGGAGCAAGAGGGGAACTGGGCCTCATGAGCGGCAGGCCGGCGTGCACACGCATGCAGCTCAACTTGCAGAATATGAGCTGTGTGCGCACGTGCATGTGTGCCAGCCTGATGCTCCTGTAAGTCAAGCTGCACAAGTGTGCATGTGCACTGGTGCTTGCCGGTTGCGTGGCCCAATTCCGAATTGGCCACGGCCCAGTAGTGGGTTGTGGCCCAGGGGTTGTGGCCCCCTGCCCTGTGACAATTGCTTACCATGGTTGGAGCATTCCAAGCAGTGGTCGGTGCAATTTTGGGCTGCCAATTGGAACCGCCTGTTAGTTTCTTTTCTCCTGGCTGGGTCCAGTTTACATCACTATAAATAAATGTTCACGATATTAAAACTCAGATGTATTCACATTAGAAAAAAAAACACATGTATTCACGTTAGAAAAGTATGAGATAGCTCCTCTCCTGTCTCTTCGGATAGTCCTTGACTTACATTCGTTCAGTGATGGTTCGAAATTACGACAGCGCTGAAAAAAGTGACTTATGATGATTTTTCAGTTTTACGACTGTTGCCGCATCCTCAGGGTCAAGGGATCAAAATTCAGACGCCTGGCAACTGGCTCGTATTTATGACGGTTGTAGTGTTCCTAGGGGTCACGTGATCCCCTTTTGCAAACCTTCTGACAAGCAAAGTCAATGGGGAAGCCAGGTTGGCTTTACAACCCTGTTACTAACCCTACCATTGCAATGATTCACTTAACGACCCTGGAAAGCAAATTTGTAAAATGGGGCAAAACTTGCTTAACAACTGTTTCGCTTTGCGATGGAAATCTGAAGCTCAATTAAGTCAAGGACTACCTTTACATGATTACCTAAAAAGAAAGATGGATGGGAAGAGATCAGAGAACAAGGAGGGAAGTGGGGTCTGCCCTCAGTCCAGCAGCCACCCCCAACATGGATATTATTGGGTAGATGGAAGATGCTAAGTATTAGTTGGTCAGTCATAGATGGCTCATTTATTCTCCCAATCAGCAACACTATCCTTATCTGTATTATTAAGAAATCAATCTGGTTAAGTCATGTAAAGTTGCTGCGAATATATATTTAGAAGAAAAATATATATTAAAAAACTCACTTTTTCGGTGTCCCATTTCCAATGCCCAAATCTGTTACAAAACAAGAAAATCATTAGAAAAAAGTTCATTTTTTTTTTTAAAAAAATGATTTTTATATAAGTCCCATACAAATACTTACTTCCTACGAGGTTGGCTAGAGATGAATCCAAGTCATCTAATACTAACTTATTGGGTGGTGCTTTGGAAGTTGGGAGATTCTGGTTCTGAGAAGTCACGGTTGGTTTTAGGAGTCCACCTAATTCATCAAAGCCTTAAAACAACACAGATTATTAAATGTAACAAAACTTTTTCAATTATCGTACCAGATGTCAACCCATATGTATTTTAAAATCTTAGCATACGGATCTTCAAACGTAGCCCTTTTATGATTTGTGGACTTCAACTCCCAGAATTCCTCAGCCAGGCACTCTGGCTGAGGAATTCTGGGAGTTGAAGTCCACAAGTCATGAAGGGCCTTAGTTCCTCATGCTGGCTGAGGAATTCTGGGAGTTGAAGTCCACAAGTCATAAAACAGCCAAGTTTGAAGACCCCTGTCTTAGCGTAATACAGGTAGTCTTCCATTTACAACCACAATCGAGCCCCAAATTTCTGTTGCTAAGTGACATATTTGGTAAGTGAATTTTGCCCCATGACCCTTTTTTGCCACATTTGTTAAATAAATTGCTGTAGTTAACAACTTGGTAACACGACTGTTAAGTGAATCAGGCTCCCCCATTGACTTGGCTTGTCAGAAAGTTGCAAAAGGTGATCACGTGACTCCAGGACATTTGCAACCATCGTAAGTATGAATCAGTGGCCAAGTATCTGAATTTTCACCACGTGACCATGGGGATACCGCAATGGTTGTAAAAGGATGGAAAATGGTCATAAGTCACTTTTTTCAGTGCCGTTGTAACTTCAAACAGCCCCTAAATGAACTGTTGTGAGGACTACCTGTACAGCTAAAAACACTTTAGGAATTCCTCTTCTATGCTTCAAAAGAAAAAAAAAGGTAACTAAAATACTGCCATCTTTCTTCTGTAAAATAAAGTTGACAATTCCAGAAAATCTGGGATCAAAACCGAAACAAGAGTAAAAGGAATCTTGCATCCGAAAAAGCTGATAATATCTTGCATAATTAGCCATTGAGAACAATAAAAAAAATCACTTCACTGAGGGTGAGAAGATTCATAGATTTGATGAGTGACTCTCAATCTGCTGATCTTTGGGAAACACCGCGTTTAAAAGATTCCTTTTAGGAAAACTCAAGAGATCTACATACAGTTGTGTGCCATTTTTCTTTACTCTCTGAACAGGATTAAGGGGTCCTTGGTGTGCTCTGAGCTGGGTTGTTTTCTTGCAGACGTTTCGTTACCCAAACTAGGTAACATCAACAGTGCCATTGCACTGATGAGGTTACCTAGTTGGGTAATGAAATGTCTGCAACAAAATAACCCAGCTCAGAGAACACCAAGGACCCCTTCATTTCAACCCTGAACTATAAATATTCTCCGTTATCACAACAGGATTAAATAAGGGCTACTTAAAAGACTTACCACCAGAATCCACTAATGCATTTGTACTTTTGTTTCCAAACACAGACTCAAAGTCAACATTAAGGCCTGCTGATGGTTGCGATGGGGCAACAGAAGATGGTGTAAACCCTGCCAACAAAAATGGGGAAAATTATTTATGAGCAATGTATATAAATTCCCAGTTTGCAGACAAGAAATATTGCCATAAATTATTGTGATGGTGGATACAATTCAAACAATGGATAACAAATCAGGAACTGGAAGAAAGTTCCATGATTCAAACAGTGAAAAATTCAGAAAATTGTAGAATTGGAAGCATCCATAGAGGTCACTGAGTTAATACTTTGTCCATTCAGGAATGCAAATTAAAATATTCGTAACAGATGGCCATTTAACTTCTGCTTNTTCAGCAAGCAGGACTGGCCTAAGGGGAAATTTTTTAGTGGGGTTCTTAAACATTTTTAATTAATTATAGCCAATTTAAATATTTCTTTTTAACCAAGTTTTAAGGGGTGTCTTGGGGTGTATTTGTATTTTATTGGTTGTTAGCCGCCCTGAGTCCGTAAGGAGAAGGGCGGGGTAAAAGTTTAATTAATAAAATAAATAAATAAAAATAAATATTGTTTGACATGTATTCCCTAAACAAGATGATCTGAGGTAACCTACCTTCCTTCCTTCCATCCATCCATCCATCCATCCATCCATCCATCCATCCATCCATCCATCCACCTACCTACCTACCCATCCACCCACCCACCCATCCATCCATCTACCTACCTTATATTAAAATATACTTTTATGTACTTTAAATACATAATTTTAACATCACTACTGAGCTGGTGTCATTGTAATTTTCTATTTCAATTCACAACTTGTAAAACAGTTTTCAAGAATTACTCTGAATAGTATTCCTGATTTATTTCTATCACTGAGCAATCCATAAAGATTCCTATATTTGAATCACAGGCCATTTAAACGATATTTAGAACCTACATTATATCTACCTTAACCTGGGGTTTTCAAATTAAGTTCCCAAAAATGTTTTATAGAAGTCAAGAATCTTTTACACTCCATTTCCATCAAGCAGTCATGCTGCAGCTACATCTTCCACAGATATCCACATATTTTATGACTTGCCTTTATTAAACCTCTTGCAACAACAATCACCCACAAATTGGGCGGGAACAAGGACCAGTTTTTAAAGAAATAACTATGCCACTTTTTCTATGCCAAATCTACTGATATTTCAGCACCAGGACAAAATCAAGAGGGGACCATAATGTGAAATATAAGTGTTATGAGTTTGCTGACAATATTAAAAAGGAAATACAGGTAGTCCTCAGCTAACGACCATAATTGAGCCCCAAATTTCTGTTGCTAAGTGAGACATTTGTTAAGTGAGTTTTCTCCCATTTTACGACCTTTTTGCCACCGTTGTTATGTGAATCACTTACACGGTTGTTAATGGAATCTGGCTTCCCATTCACTTTGCTTGTCAGAAGGTCACAAAAGGGAATCACATGACCCCAGATACTGCAACGGTCACAAATATGAGACAGTTGCAAAGCGTCTGTACTTTGAAAACGCGACCTTGGGGATGGTTGTAAGAAAAACAGTCATAAGGCACGTTTTTCAGTGCCACTGTAACTTTGAACAGTCACTAAATGAACAGTTGTAAGTCGAGGACTATCTGTATATACAATGCCATGTAATTTCAACTTATTTCCTTTTTGTTGCCAGTAACAATTTTGGTAAAGCTTTAATTTGAAAGAAACCTCCAGGCAAATTCAGTAATTAGATTACTGCAATAGTGTCAACAACGAATGTTGTTATTAGAAATAGCAAAGCCAGGGAACAAAAGCAGAGAAGGAAATACAATTCCAGCATGGAAAACACATAGTCATCCCTACAGCTTGTATTGTCCGTATAACTGGTCAGCTGAACACAAGTCCTTCCAAAAGTATTATTAGTTTTGTAGACCTGGAAATGGCATACACAAGAACTAAAACATTACACAGTAATCGTTTTATATGAAAAAGAAGTCAGAGAAGGTGACACTTTTTCGGTTAGAAGATGAGATAGACATATAGTTATTTATAGTCCTATTAGTATGCCGCAGAATGCCAAAATGTCAAAAAGGCAAACGCTTGATGTGAAATCTTAAGTTGTCAAATGAAAACACGGCAATACATTCAGGAAACAGAACTTCACAAAAACAGATTTGGATTTCAGAATTTCATTACAAGCTTCTGAACTCAGAACATGACAGCTTGTTCTTTTTAGAAAGACCAGATAGGCCAAAAAAAAAAACAAAAAACGAACACAGAAAACAGAAAAAATAAAAATCAGAATCTTTCTTCTGAACATTTCCTTACTTAACTAATTAACTTAATCAGTTTCAATTCTATCTAAAGGTTTGCCACTGTTGAAAAAAAATATATTTCTACTCTTCTACTAAATGACTGTAGCCCATTCCATTATGCTGGTTTATGACCATAATAAAGACTGATTGATACTCCCAATCATTCATTTATCAAGACACCATTTACTTGCTGTTGGTCAGAAACGGTAGTAACTGTAAAAGGATGTTGACTAAGATTCTGTAAACAAAATAATGAAGGGAGTTTCCAGCAGGTCCAGGATGACAAGATGAACCGTTGAGCTGATTAAAGCGGTTCTTAGGTTCCCGACACACTTCTATGAAAAAATAATTTGCTCCGTTTTGAATTTTCTGAACTTCTCCATATCTGTGCTATGGAATGTTAACTTCATGTTACTAATTATTGTGTTACTAATACATAATTGGAATCCAACAGAACGGGTAACAATATTGTTGGGTGCTCCCTCACCACATGATAAGAAGTTATCACCCCCTTAGATTCAGAAACTCTAGTTATTCACCAGCTCTAGTTACAATAATTGCTATCAATGCTTTCTATAATTTGTGATTAATCTCTGATGGGTCTGTGTAAGAATTCTGGTCCATTAATTGAGGTTTACTAGCACGAGTTGCTCATGTTAGGTCCTGTTATGCTTTTATGAGGTTTAGGTCGGCAAACAATCCAAACATCTAAATGAAGAATACTTTCCCACAGAACTGTATGGTCCATATGTTATCACTGTGCTGAGAACAACTCAAAATATAACTATATGTAATTCTATTTCAAATGGGATAATGATATTGTACTAAACATCTTCTAATGCAACTGCCAGCAGTTTTTTAAAAAAAGGACTTTCCCTCAGTATGGTAAGTATTACTTAAATAGTGTTTCCCACATTCTCCATTTTAAAACTGTTATAAAACCAAAACTGACATCAACTGCCTGTCATTTTTCCTGTTTAAGAAAAGACCAACCAGAATGCCTTTTCATACATGTTGAACTTTTATCTTAAGGCAGGGGTAGGCATCCTTGGCTCTTTTATAACTCGTGGACTTCAACTCCCAGAATTCCTGAGCCAGCCATGCTGAGGGGAAAGGGAGAAGTTTCCAAGCTGAGCCATGCTGGCTCAGGAATTCTGGGAGTTGAAGTCCACGAGTCATAAAAGAGCCAAGGTTGCCTACCCCTGTCTTAAGGTAATAAAATAAACAAAATGTATTAAGGCAGTGGGCTTACTTAGGAAAACCATCGCCAGAAGAATATCTATGGAGATTCTCAGTCATACAAGTCATGGTTGTCCCAAGGGTGCTTTTTCAAAAGACAACTCGGACTTTCTTTGTTTTGCTTGAAGATGTTTCGCTTCTCGTCCAAGAAGTTTCTTCAGTTCTTCTTCAGAACGGAAGAAGCTTCTTGGACGAGAAATGAAACGCCTTCCAAGCAAAACAAAGAAAGTCCAAGTTGTCTTTTGAAAAAGCAGCTTTGGGACATCGCCAGAAGATATATGATTATGATCTATGGTTGAACAACAGCAGAAACGAATAGGCAAAACCCAGTATTTACAATATTCTGGACAACAATATACTGCTTTTCCAAAAAAGAGAAATTAAAAAGCCCTTTGAGGTTTAAAGAACATAAACTGTTTCCCCCCATTTTTAAAATGTCTTTGAGCCAGTGTGGGCTCCTGGCAACTGCCTGAACTAGTCCCTGCAGTTTTCTTGGCAAGGTTTCAGACGTGCTTTTGCTATTGCTTCTTTCTAAGGGCTGAGAGAAAATCTGGTCCAAGGTCACCCAGCTGGCTTTGTGCCTATCAGGACTAGAACTCACAATTTATTCACCGGAAGGTTTAAAAACTGAATTAACTATGAACGTCTGCCTGCATCAGGAACAAAACTCCTGCGCTCTAAATTTTTTTACCTACCTTCAAATAGACCAGCTACAGTTGAGGGTTCACTGCAGAAATGGGAAGCATTAGGATAAGCTTGTGGGCCAGAAAAAGAATCTGATAGAAACAGGTGAAGCAGAAGAGCAAAGGAGGAATGTTATGGAAAAAGAAAAACAATGCACACTATTATAATGGATAACCAAACATTCAGACACTAAGTTAAGACTATAACTACATGACATCTGAGAGAGAGAGAGAGAGAGAGAGAGAGAGAGAGAGAGAGAGAATGAATGTTAAATGTTACATTTTATATCTCAAAAGTGGGGGAAAGTAAAGTGGAAGAGCTGTTTACAAGCAGTCCTCGACATACAACAGTTTGTTTAGTAACAGTTGAAAGTTACACCGGCACTGAAAAAAGTGACTTATGACCGTTTTTCACTCTTACGGCCTTTGCAGCATCCCCCTGGTCAGGTGATCAAAATCCAGACGCTTGGGAACTGACCCATATTTATGACGGTTGCATTGTCCTGGGGCAGGGGTAGGCAACCTTGGCTCTTTTATGACTCGTGGACTTCAACTCCCAGAATTCCTGAGCCAGCATGGTTCAGTTTGGAAACCTCTCCCTTTTCCCTCAACGTGGCTGACTCAGGAATTCTGGGAGTTGAAGTCCACGAGTCACGAAGGGGCCAAAGTTTTCCCCATGCTGGCTCAGGAATTCTGGGAGTTGAAGTCCACGAGTCATAAAAGAGCCAAGGTTGCCTACCCCTGTCCTGTGGTCATGTGATCTCCTTTGGCGACCTTCTGACAAGCAAGGTCAATGGGGAAACCAGATGCACTTAACAACCGGGTTACTAACTTACCAACTGCAGCGATTTACTTAACAACGGTGGCAAGAAAGGTCGTAAAGCAGGGCAAAACTCACTTAACAAATGTCTTACTTAGCAACAGAAATTTCGGGTTCAATCAAAAGCTGAAGTCTACCTGCAGTGGATGATTATATGGGTTTCCCCAGAGAGTCTGGTTAAAAAAAAAAACCCAGCTTGAAGTCATCTAGACAACCAGAAAAGTTAAACTGAAAGTCAAAAGATTTGGGCAGAAAATATTTGGGGGTTATATTTCTCAGATCAGATAGCACTGTAACCTTCCTTAACTTACTGACCAAAGTCACAAAAGGATTAAGGGCACCCATGAGAATTATTACATGAGCAGGATATGAACTGGGGTAGATCACTGGGTTGCTCCCTGTGGTAGGACCATTTAGTGTCTGCCCCCCCCCCCAAATATTAATGACTGACTAAAGCAAAGTTTAATCCCTTCCAGGAGAAAATCAATGAAAAACTGATATTGAGTCAAACAGAGAGAAGACAGACAGGTAGATGGAAAGGAATCTAACATAACCCCCTCCCCATCATTCACGTCTTTAAAATTTAGTGATATAGGTAGTCCTCAGCTTACAAATGTTAACAATTGTTCAAAGTTACAATGCCAGAGGCTATGTGATTGCAATTCAGGTGCTTGTGAACTGACTTGCAATGACAAGGGTTGCTGCATCTTGAGGGCACGTGACCACAAATTTGCAATCTTCCCAGCCTGGCTTCTGGTAAGCAAAGTCAATTGGGGAAGCTGGATCTGCTTAACGATAGCGTGATTCCCTTAACAACCACGTGATTTGCTTAACAACCATGGTAAAAATGGTTATCAACTCATTCTGGGCACGGGATGCATTGGCTACTGACCATATAGGCTTAGCAACTGAAATCCCAGCCCCGGTGGTGGTCATAAGTTGAGGACTACCTGGGGTTTACCTAAATCAGGGGTCTCTAAACTTGGCAACTTTTAAGACTTGTGGACTTCAACTTCCGAAAGTCCTCAGCCAGTCAGCCGAGGAATTCTGGGAGTTGAAGTCCACAACTCTTAAAAGTTGCCAGGTTTGGAGACCCCTGAATTAAATTATTAGCAGATATTAAGATAGATGTTCAGAAACTGACTCTTTTTCCCCCCTCCTACTGAAAGACCTTAGAATTTGTCTACGACTGACAAGTCCCATCAGAGAAAAGAAAAGCCAGCTAGCCAGCCAGTACTTTACCAACAAACATCTCATGAGTTGGTGTCCTAGAAGTGAAAGAAGGGAGTGCATCAGAGGAGAGGTGATTGCTAGATTTTGTGAGGAAAGGATTTAAGTTTGGAATGGCATCGTCAACAGCCTCAGGAGTGGATGTGAAAGGATCTGCAACAGTCCAGGTGGAACAAGAAGGAAAAGGAAGGGGAACCAAATTAGCTATGTATTAGTATTCAGGAAGAACATTAAGCAGATACTTAATTGTTTACAGTTTGCATCCAGATCATTCAGGGGGCATATTTGATAGATTAAATTATTCTGGCTAATGCATGCAATAACTCTTTATCCTCTTTCTAAATGGTGGCCTGAATAACAATCAGCAACTCTTTTTTAATGGGGAGAATGGCTGCTCTTTCTAGTTAAGTGGAATGTTAAACTGCAATTATGAGTTTCGAATTCTGATTAATGTGACCACTTAGTGGTTTGCCTACTATCCTTAGCTAAATGTTTGCATAATATCTTTAGCTAAAAAAAACCCCTACTAATTACACTTACAAGGAGATGGTACATGCATTCATATTAATCAACTGCAGAGTACTGTACAGGTAGCCCTTGACTGACAACGGTACATTTAGTGACCACTTGAAGTTACAACGGCACTGAAAAAAGCGGCTTATGACCATTTTTCACACTTATGACTATTGCAGCATCCCCACAGTCATGTAATTTACATTGGATGCTTGACAACTGGTTCATATTTATGACTATTGCAGCATCCCCACGGTCATGTAATTTACATTGGATGCTTGACAACTGGTTCGTATTTATGACAATTGCAGTGTTCCAGGGTCACGTGATCACCTTTTGCAACCTTCTGACGAGCAAAGTCAATGGGGAAGCCAGATTCGCTTAACAACCGTGTTACTAATTTAACCACTGCAGTGATTCATTTAAGAAATGTGTTAAGAAAAATCATAAAATGAGGCAAAAACTCACTTAACAAAGCAACATAAATTCTGGGCTCAATTGTGGCCGTTAAGTCAAGGACTTCCCGTACAAGCACAGTCTACTAAGAAAATCAATTTCTTTAGGAAATCAACATCTTAACAAGCTTGCTATTCTGCAAATACTTTCACACAGAGCAAAACAGCTAATGCTTTTTCTGGAGACTGCGTGACTAGCCAGCATCGTTGTTCAGCAATTCTGGGAAGTGGTTTTAAGAGCTGCAGATACATGCTACGTTCATAACCCCATGTGCTCTGAATCACGTCTTTTGTCTTCAAATCGAAATAGCTATCATGATCAAGCTAAATTAGTTAATTTGTTCAGTGTATATACACGTCTCTACAGAATCCGGCTCAGCTCCTGATGACTTCATGAACATATTTTTGTGATTTTCGTGACAACAATATTGAAGTGATTTGCACTGCTCTTTTCGGGGATTTTTCCTCTTTTTTTTTTGCAATTTTCCAGTCTAGTTTATAGCCTAGGGATTTCCTGACAGTCTCTCACTCCAGTACTAATCAGGTCTGACCATGCTTAGCTTTTCAAGGTTGATTGAGATTGGCTAGATGTTATCTCCAAGCTGCGTTATAACACTGCAAAAGTTTCCTTTCATTGCTATATACAGTTATCTATTTAACCTACAAATTTACTAACATCTCTGCAAATTTCAAAAAAGTAAGAAATGCAATCTATCTATGTGGTTTCTAAGAGTCAACAGCGACCTGATGTGACTGGATTTATCAGTCAATAAATGGAAAGTAAATGCCAAGGTGGAGGTACGTGCACTTCCATCATTATTGGAAGGAAAGTCCCACAGTCGTACTTTGGACTTTTACCATCTGTGCATGCAATTAATCTTTGTCTACTCTCACATCAGTATGTTAGATACTGAACTGATATGTCCAACACAAGCACCTTTTGTCTGAAACTGTACAATGGTACCGATGTCGTTCACAATGTCTATTGTACAACCAGCTTCTTTTGTCCAATAGAACACTGATTCGAGTCTTGCATCTCCTTAAAGATTAACAAATGTATTACAGTATGAATCTCTCTGAAGATTAGGGCCCATTTTATCAGCCCTATGAAATATTCTTCTCAGTTGCTGTTAGAAGACACCTTGGTTGAAATTGCAAGTTTCTCCATCACAGGCCATGACTGTTCATGTTTTCAATATTACCTCTTTCAAATACCTTATCCAGCAACTAACAGAGAACTCTTGAGACACTATTTGAGATCAGAGGCAAGCAACTCAACAGCTCATTCTGATCTTTGTGGGTTTTGGATATGAATTCCACAGACCTAATTCATTCGTTCAGCGATTTTGGTACCTCCACCTCCTAACATTCTGAGTGGCTCACAGTATAATGTTTCCTATTTTATACAGTTGGCTTATAAACTTCGACGGTTTATCAAAAAATATCAAAGCAGAATAAGTACCTGCAAAAATTAAAAGCCACTTTCTAGTCTTTTGAAAGGTTAAAGATCAGTTTTCTCGGTTCAATGTGGAAACTAAGTGCAGGTAACGGAAAACCAAGCCTCAAGTTGTGAGATTTTTGTCTTATAGCTTTCTCATCTATGAACAAAATTGCAAACAGGGACTCTCTAATGCCATCTAGCACAGTGTTTCTCAACCTTGACAATTTTAAGGCATGTGGACTTCAACTCCCAGAATTCCACAGCCAGCAATGCTGGCTGTGGAATTCTGGGAGTTGAAGTCCACATGCCTTAAAATTGTCAAGGTTGAGAAACACTGGTCTAGCAAGTATTTCTAACGTTTGCTTCCAATGTCTATAGAGATTCTCAGCCCATCCACATCAGGGTTGTCCCAAAGGTGCTTTTTTAAGAGGCAACTGGACTTTCTTGGCTTTTCCTTGAAGACGTTTCCCTTCTCATCCAAGAAGCTTCTTCAGTTCTGGCTCAATTTGACTCTATTCTCAAGTCAGAACTGAAGAAGCTTCTTGGATGAAAAGCGAAACGTCTTCAAGGAAAAGCAAAGGAAGCCCAGTTGTCTCTTGAAAAAGCACCCTTGGTTCCACTTCCAATCACAATCTCGGAGCAGAAATGAACTTTCCAAAGCTGCCTGTGCTTCTTCCAAAATGGGGGCTCAGAACCCCAGGGCAATACCAGAATTTCCTGTTGAATTATACGGATGGAAACTAATCAAGGAGAGAAGCAACCTAGAACTAAGGAGAAACTTCCTGAGAGGTAGAACAATCAACCAGTGGAACAACCTGCCTCCAGAAGCGGTGAATGCTCCAACACTGGAGGTTTTTAAGAAGAGACTGGACAGCCATTTGTCCAAAATGGTATAGGGTTTCCTGCCTGAGCAGGGGGTTGGACTAGATGACCTCCAAGGTCCCTTCCAACTACTACTACTACTACTACTACTATTACTTTTCTTCTTCTTCTTCTTCCTATTCATCTTCCTCTTTTTTCTTTTTCTTTTTCTTCTTCTTTTTCATTCTTTTTCTTCTTCTTTTTCTTTTTCTTCTTCTTCTTCCTATTCATCTTCCTCTTTTTTCTTTTTCTTTTTCTTCTTCTTCTTCCTCTTTCTCTTCGTATTCATCTTCTTCTTCTTCTTCTTCTTCTTCTTCTTCTTCTTCTTCTTATTATTATTATTATTATTATTATTATTATTATTATTATTATTATTATTATTTCAGCATGACAGAAAGGAACAAGGGGAATAATCCTATTAAATACACTGAATTTCAAATTTTAATTGAAATAAAATCTATTTTTATCCAGCGCTTCCCCATTTCTTCAACACACTGCTTCCCCCAAAAAGGCTACACAGCTTTCCCCAAATTTTTGCTCTCCAGGTGAGCTGGGCTTCAATTTCCATAATCTTCAAATGAGCGTAATTATAAGTCCATTCTAGCTGAGGATTATGGGGTAGGTGATAGAAGATAAAGCTGAACATATGCATCAAATGACAGACTGAGGTAATAAAAAAAAAAAGCACCTTACTGTGGCTTATCATTTTCTCTAAGAAAACTCTCAGAACTATAATTATGACCTTCATACAGATTTTCTTCCATGTACTTAACAATTTTAGATAGGGTGCTACTTTGGCTATCACTACCAAAAAAGGGGGGGGAGGAATTCTGCTTCAGCCCCCTCCCCTCTTAATGAACAGCTACCATAGAAACATGGTTACTCTGAATCACACCGTATAAAACACCACGGCTTAAAAGAAAGTGCATAACCATCTCATTGCAATGTGAAAGGCAGATCGGATAGAAAAAGCAAGCAGGATAAAAAACTGCATTGTTATTTAGGAAAAAAAAAGAAGAAGATAAAGAGGACATAAAATCCGAACGGAAGGAGCTTTTAATATTCTTTCTACCTTCCACAATTCTCTTCAAACATAGCAAAGGGGCAAATACAAAACAGAATCGTGATGTTTACAGGTATTTTTTTTTAATTCTTAAATTCTGGAAAGTTACAATAATAAATCAAATTCATCTTCAAGATTGTATGCTTGCAGAGAACTCTGCTCTTTTACAGTGACTTAGTCTGTTGGCTGCCTTTTTAATAAGGCAAGCTTTTAGCATTTTTTTTTTCCTGGAAAAGCATTGTGGAAGAGTTACATCTAATTCCTTTCTTAGTTAGGAAGTGCTATGAACGTCACGTTGAGTTCCTGATGGAAAGACAAACGCAACAAACAGATAAATATGGGTCATAGTATGTCCATGTCAAATGGTTTCACGAATAACGAACTGTCTGGCCGAAAAAGTTCCATATGAAATCATGGTCAACCAAGAGCCTGACAGAAGTATCCTAAAGTTGGGTTTTGAAAGGATCAACCCTTATATAGTACTAGCTGTACCCGGCCACGTGTTGCTGTGGCTCAGTCTGGTAAAAGCGTGTGTTGCTTTTACGTCCAACAGATGGCGCTGTTTTTTTAAAAAAGCATGTTTTTACCTGTCACAGGTGTGACATCTATATAATATAGCTATATAAAAACACGCGCGTATTCGAATACAACGTTGTGTCAAAATTTCAAAGCAATCGGTGAAGAACTTTCGGAGATTTAAGATTTTGAACAAACGAACATTTACATTTTTATTTATATATAAGATAAGGAAGCTTCCTGTTTTTACTTCAAAGTATTTCTACAAATAATGGTGTTTTTTTTCCTATCCAGAGACTGAAAGCAGACTGAAACCTACTTATTACTCTTGTTAAAGTCAACCTGACAGTTCAAGCCTTAAACCTACTCCCTCCGGTTTGATGCAAAAATGAAGATGAATCATTACTGAGAAAGGGAGACGGGGAAAATGGAGGAAGGAAGATACCAGCGACACATTTATGTCTTAGAATAGAATTGTAATGAGCTAAGCACAACTTCCTTAACAGTGAGGCATAACTTGCATCTTATATATCATTCTCTTGAATTATTTTAAAATGGTTTTATTCAAGTCTGGACAAGAAGCAACGGGTGGAAACTAACCAAAGAGAGAAGCAACCTAGAACTAAGGAGAAACTTCCTGA